AGCCGAATTAGTCTCTTTTTCTCACTGTTTCTTTCTGGCACATTCTCTTTCAATCTTTATTATTGCTATTACTACTATCACTATTTTAACTAAAACAATCACATATACTTGAAACAGGTGCAAGCAACACAAAAATCCCATTTTCTAGAGATAAACACCATCCACAGTTGGTTGTGTTTCCTTAAGACTATTCTCCCGCAACCCCTAAATCTACACAAGTGTTTTTAAAAAATAAAAATGGGATTATTCTTAACATTTTCTTCTGCAGCTTTTTTTTTACCCTTGAAAGTACACTTGGCCCTCTTGTAAGGAAGATGGGTGATCCTATTCCAAGCCGGGTTTAAATCGCTCCTGACCAGCCAGTCCACCAGTGGGTCAGCATTTGTTAAAGAGAAACTATCTGTGTGCCTTGGTGTTTCCATCAGAGCACCTTTATTGACAAGCGTCAAGTTAGGACAGGGCCCTGGGTGGAGCCTTGAGCACCTGCTGCAAATATCTTTGCACTCAAACATTTCATTTTACAAGTTCATTTTATTTTATGCATTCTGTTTACCTGGTATATACTTCAGCGTATAAATGGCTCAGTGTGAGAGCTTGATGCATTAATATAAGGTGTGCTCAGCTCCATAGCTAGTATGTTGAGGAATATCAGTGTTCTGGGTGGGCAGATGTAGAATGAGCTTGAGCAGCGGGAGGGACCATCTTGTTTTGGGTGATGGGATCCCTTGGGTCCCCTTTCTGAACACTTTATCCCTGTAGAGCAATCACTCAACCAATCGGCATCACTTACAATGCTAATGTCTCAGATCCATTGACCAAATTGTCATTTTCATGGAAATAAGTCTGCGAATTCCAGTAGGTCTGCTTCATTTTTGAGCATATAGGATGACAAAATGGTCATAATATATGGATGATAGTAAAAATATCTAACATTCCTAGAGGCTAACTATGTGCCGGACACCCTTCTTTTATCCTGTTTTACCTCTGAGATTCAGACAGATTAAATAACTTGCCCATAGTCATACAACTAGTAAATTTTGGAGCCAGTGTGTGTGCATGCGTGTGCAAATGTGTGAGCATGCATGTGTGTAATGGGATGTGGTTCAGGGAAGAAAGCACTTCCTTTTCCCAGCAGAATTATACCACAGATAAGACCCAGGGTAACAGAGAAGACTGTTGAGCATCACACATTTGGATTGCCTACCTGGTGTGAGTTACACGTGGATGTTTATGCAAATACCAGACTGGTTGTAACCAGGCTGAGGGGCTTGGAGTCAGAGGATTGTCTTTCTTTGGAGGGCCTTGAATTCCTGTCAATGTTAGTGCCTGTCTGGAAAGAGCTACCTGCTGCTATGGCTTGGTTTCTTTTTGGCCAACATGGATGGTGGTGAGATTCAAAGGCTGGTTGCAAAGTTGGTTTCATAAGAGGCAGTGATAACCTTGGGGGATAGGCTACATCTGACCCTGGGGTTACTGCGGGATGAAGTTTACCCAGATGAGAAAGAGGATGGAAGAGGAGTCCCAGAGCCAAGTCAGGTGACTTAAAGAACATGATTCATTCAGGATAAAAGTGGTTCAAGGGACAGCAGGACTGTTTAGAGAAAGGGGAATTCTGCTGCAGTCCGAGGACAACTGTGGGTCTGTTAAGTAGAAATTCTGAAGAAGCTCAGTTTCAGGGAGGTAGAGGTGCCTGGTAGCCAGAGGGTGCCTTGGAGGGAGGCGATGGTGTATATGGAAGTGCTAACATGGGTTTCAAGGTTGGCATCTCTTCTTTGAAAATTAATAGGGGCTTTCCAGACTGGTTTCCAAGTGCATTGTTGGGTGTGGGGTTCCTTCATAGATGGGCAGGGTGGACTTGAAAGCTCTTTTATAATCCTGTCCAGCCCTGGGCTGCAGGGTAGTTTTGCTCAGAGGCCACCTTGTAGACCAGTGCAGATCTATGACCTTGTAAATGAGGCTGGGACAGGGCTGGGGAGGGTTAGTTTGCCAGGATTGCCATAAAAAGTACCACAGAGCCAGTGGCTTAAACAATGCATTGTCTCACTATGATATTCATAAATCATCAAGTTGTAGCTTCTCTCACTGAATGGTATAATTTTAAAAAAAGAAATAGTGCAATTCTAGGCTTTTTTTTTTTTTTTTTGACAGAGTCTCACTCTGTTGCCCTGGATAGAGTGCCGTGATATCAGAGCTCACAGCAACCTCAAACTTTTGGGCTCAAAGGCCAGGCACAGTGGCTCACGCCTGTAATCTTAGCACTCTGGGAGGCTGAGGTGGGTGGATTGCCTGAGCTCAGGAGTTCACGATCAGCCTGAGCAAGAGTGAGACTCCATCTTTAAAAAATACCCAGGCTTTGTGGTAGGCACCTGTAGTCCCAGCTACTCAGGAGGCTAAGGCAAGAGGATCACTTGAGCCCAAGAGTTTGAGGTTGCTGTGAACTATGATACCATGGCACTCTACCCAGGGTGACAAAAGTGAGACCCCATCTCAAAAAGAAAGAAAAAGAAAAAACTCTTGGGCTCAGGTGATCCTCTTGCCTGAGCCTCTTGAGTAGCTGGGACTACAGGTGCCTGCCATCATGCCTGGCTAGTTTTTCTATTTTTAATAGAGATGGGGGTCTTGTTCTTGCTGAGGCTAGTCTTGAGCACATGAGCTCAAGTAATCCGTCATCCTCAACCTCCCAGAGTTCTAGGATTACAGGATTCCACTGTAATGATTTTTAAAAATCAGCTAGGAGTCTTTATTCCAATATTTCTGTGAGCTTTGTTGGCAGCCTTTAATCTCAGAGATTAGTGGCAAATATTCATGGTGGCATAGCTGATTAAGGAGTGAGATACTTGATTAACTCATAATCATTGTGTTCTTAGTCTCCTATGCTTTTTCAGCTAGCTGTCTTACCTTACCTGAGTCTCCATTTAGCAAAACACAGGCAGCTTTGATTTTGCTTTTAAATTGTTGTAAAGTACTAATAACTTAAAATTTACCATTCTAATCATTTTTAATATATAGGTCAGTGGCATTAAGGGCATTCACATAGTTGTACAATCGGCACTACCATCCCTCTCTAGAACTTTCTCCCTCTTCTGAAACTGAAATTCTATGTCCAAAAAACACTAACTTCCCATCCTTGTCTCTTTACCCCTGGCAACCACCATTCTACTTTCTGCCCCTAGTTTACTCCAGGTACCTCGTCTAAGTGGAATTGTACAGTATTTATCTTCTTATGACTGGCTTATTTCACTTAGCACAATGTCCTCAAGGTTCATCCATGGGTTAGAATTTCCTTCCTTTTTAAGGCTGAATCGTATTCCATTGACTGTGTAAGTCACATTTTGTTCCTTCATCTGTTGGTGGACATTTGGGTTGCTTTCACCTTTTAGTTATTGTGAATAATGCTGCCATGAACTTGGGTGTTCTTTTAAAAAGAAAACCTTGTGTTAAACACGTACATGTCTATTGTAGTAAAATTAAAATATAGTCAAGGAAAGAGTACTCTCCCACCCCAATCATCTGAAACCTTTCCACTTTGGAGAGAAAGTGACCCCTTTGGAAGCAGGCAAAGCAGGCTGTGAAAAGCCCGAGGTCACCTGGGTCACCCTGAACCCTTTGGAAGTGGGCAAAGCAGGCTGTGAAAAGCCCGAGGTCACCTGGTTCTTCCTGCTCCACCGCTGGCTTCTGACTGGCCTCTCCTCTCTGTCTCTTCCAGGCAAATGTCTGCAGATTGCGGCTGACCGTACCTCCAGAGAGTCCAGTTCCTGAGCAAAGTGAAAAGAAGATTGAGAGAAAAGAGCAGGTGAGGCATCTCTGGCAAGGCTTGGGGAGGCCCCAGTCTTTGTGCTCTTAACCAGCTCCGCCTCCTGTCCCCTAACCCGGCTGTTCACACAGGCTCCCATCAGCAGCTCTGATGAGAAGGCCCGCTTGGCTTTGGGGCCTTGTCTCCCATCTTCCCACCAGACAGCCTGCTCTCCTAGCCGGCTCTGCCAGCGTCGTGCCCTGCTCTTGTTTCTTGGTGAACACTGTGGCTCTGTGTTGATTCAAAGCTGTGGGGATGCTGGCCTTAGTGACAGGTGCTGTGGTGGGGAACGTGGGTTTTCCTGAAACAGCCCAGTCCACAAAGGGCCCATTGTGAGCTGCTGGTGGGGCCAGTGTCTTTCTCAGCAGCTTAGAGCAGCAGCCGGGGCCCAGCTCACACGGGGCATAGGACGGGCCAGCAGACAACTGTGGCATGGGGAAAGGGCACTTTCTTGGCTGGGGGAGGAGGTGTTCAGCAAATATTTTTGTGCTAGCTTGTGTGCTAGTGCTGGGGCCATGAAGATAAGTATGTCCTTGCCTTGAAGAAACACGTAGTTTTCCAGGTGAAACAGGTTTACGTATTTATTCACTGTATAAATGAACAGTAATAATGCAATGTTTCAAGTGTTAGGGGTCCAGCGATGTAAGAAGGGGACACAGAGAAGGGAATAACTACTTGGGAGTTCACTTTGGGGCAGAGGGTTAAAGTGTAAAGAGGAAGTCCTGTTACCTCTAGGCCTCAGGTCCTGGCCAAGCCATTTTACTCAGTCACAAGCAATTATTGGGCACCTACTATATTCCAGGCACCGTTCAAGGCAAAAGGAGTAGAGCAGTAAACAAAGCAACAAATAAAAAAATAAAATAAATCTGTCAACCATGCAACTTACATTCTAGTGGAACAAGAGTGAAGAATCAGCAAAATGATTAAGCACATTTTATAGGGGTTAGGTGGTAGTAAATGCTGATGGAGACAAATAAGAGAAAAGCATAGGAGTGGCAGGGAGTCAGTGTATTTTTTCTTATGCTTATATTTTACATGGATATACAATAAAATAAAAGAATATAATATAGTATAATTTTCATAAATAAAATCATGAAGTAGTGGCTTCTTGAAATGTAAGCCTTGCTTTAGCGTTAACCAATAATGTGGTCAGTTATACAAAAAAGGAAGCTTTTCATTGACTGCTAAGAGTTTAATGATGTCCCTGAGTTTCCAGCAGGTCTCTGTGTCCCCTCCCCTTCTCCTCTAGCCGTCCTCTCCCTACTTCCTGCCCAGGATGGAGAGTTGCCTGTGCTAATGCCAACGATGAATGACAGGGAAAGGAAGTTGGGAGGAAGGAAAGCAATACTGTGAGAGAAAGGAGAGAGAAGGAAAAGTTGCTGATCTGCCTGAAAAGAGAGGATGCGTGGGACCCTCCCACTAAAAGGGTCCAGAGAAGCAGCTGCTTCCGGTTGAGCGTGGACAGGATGAGTTGGGTCTGGGACCCCTGGTGCTGGATGCCTGGGGTCATAGCAAAGGGACCTGGCAGTCAGTTTGAAAGGGCGCTCACTGGCCAAAATTAGAGCAACTTGAGCATGGAAAAGAATGACAGTCGTGGGTTATGACGCATAGAATTATTTTTACAAAATCCATATAGTAATAATCAGAAAGGGGAGGGGTTAAAAAAGGGAAGGTTCTTCTTCATAGAGTGTGAGCCAATACATTTAGAAAATCTCTATTTTGCAAGCCCCTGGTAGATTAGAAAATAGATAGAAAAACTAGTAGGTCAAAGATTATTGCAGAATAGATGGAAGAAGTAGTTGGTGAAAGGGTATTATAGAACAGGATATTCATGTGATCTCAGGGTATTACCTCAGCAGATTACTTACTGATTCTGGAGGGACAGGAACCTTCACAGTGAGGTAGGCTGGTGGTCAACATTTCAACCACGTGATCCACGCTAGTGTAACCAGTAGTGGGGCAGCTGATGTTACGGGACCTGCAGCGGTGTGATTAAGAAGTACACGGTATTACCTATGTTATATTCATGCCACACTTGTTTAACTGAATCTAATAATAAGGAAACAGAAAAACCTCAAATGCAGGACAGTCTGTGGGATAACTCCTTAATAAAGTCAATGTTATTAAAAAAAAAAAAAAAAAAGAGGGCAGTGCTTGTGGCTCAAAGGAGTAGGGCACTGGCCCTGTATGCCGGAGGTGGTAGGTTCAAGCCCAGCCCCGGCCAAAAACTGCAAAGAAAAAGATGAGACTCTGTTGTAGGTTAGAGAGACTAAAGAGACTTAACATTAAATGTAATGCGTGAACCCTGATTAAATATTAGTCTCCCCAAATCTTTGAAAGACATATTGGGATAATTATATACTTTCGAATATGAACCATATATTAAATATTAATTTTCTTGTGGCAGTGGTACTATGGTATGTACTTGAACTGTTCTTTCAGATTCTCTATAGCTTCAAACATTCTCCAAAGAAAAAGGCTGGGGGTGAAGCTCGTAGCCAAGCAGAGAAGGCCATTAATGCTCTGACTTCAGCTGCTGGGTCCTTGTTGAGGAGCGGGACTGAGGGGGCCTCTGTTGCTGTGGGGATTTCTCCTTCTGCCCTCACTGCTCCCTTCCCCTTCCCCTTTTAAAGCTGATGATGGTCAGTGAAGCAGACCTGGGCTGTGTCCATGGTGATGCACCTGCTTAGAATACTTTCTGAAGAAGGGCCCAAGCTGGAGTGAGGGGCAGGACGTGGGTGCTGGCTGTGCCCTTCCAGATGCGTAGTAGGAAGTTGCAGAACTCAGTGTGTTGGGGTCAGACCCAAGCTTTGTGCCTGGGAAGATGATGTTTGGGAAGGGTTTTGAGTGCCCTGGAGGACCTGTTGCTGCTGAAGAATCAAGTATTCCCACAGAAGGAGGCTCATGTGTTCAGCTGTGTCAAGTGGCGTCGTTAACCAAGTTGTGTGTCGATTTGCCTCTTTATCTTGAGCAGTGCATTTAGAACTTGTTAAAGCAAAAGGAACTCTCTTTTTGGGGGGGATCAAAATGTTATACTGAACCCTCACAGGTAAAGTAGTCATAAGTGGCACTGGTGGGGACCCAGGTCCTCCCAGCCTTCCTTTACCCCTCGCCCCCCAGGCACCCTCCCGTGGGTGCCTGAGAACACCAAGGCTCTGAAAAGCACCTGGGGCAGCGTGTGTACCAGGATGCTGCATCTACGGGGTGGACCAGGTGCAGTCCCAGTGCCAGTCTGCGACACATTGGTGACTCACTGCTGAAGAACTGGGGTAGAGAGGAGGAGGGTGCGGCAGGTGGTTCCCTGGGAACGAAGTCCTTGGGTGGTGGCACCCCTTGAAGGCCTTGATGGCAACAGGGTGATTTTTGTCACCGTGTCCTGGCCGAGTTCCTGGCGTGAGTCACTGGGAGCCAGATGCTTGCAACCAGCAAGGACGCCCTGAGGGGGCTGCTTCCCCTAATGTGGTTTCAATGTGGCTGCCCCTCCCTGGGGCCCGCAGAATTTCAAGGTGCCAAAAACTCTGATTACCCTTCCTGGTTCCTTTGGGGGTGTGGGGTGTCTGTGGTGTACAAAGGCCCAGGGCTTGGAGCTGGCTCAGATGGAGGAGTTGGAAAATGTAAATAGTCTGAATGACTTCTGCTGAAGGGGGACATCTTGGATGATTTCCGGGGCCCTGTTAGAGCCACAGCTGGCAGAGGGCAGGCTGAGCCTCATTCTTTGACACTATCAAAGATGCTTATATATCTTGAAATATGGGGATCCCATGGTGCAGCCCACCAAGCTTCTTCCACTTGGGCCATTCTGTCCATTGTTCTCAAATCATGGGAGAGGGAGGTGACTCACAGTGGAGCTGTGTTGCAGATGGCACGTTTTGCCCAGCTCCACAAATAGATGTTTGGACACTCCTGGAAGCAAATTCAACATATTTGGCATCTTTTTATGGGGTAGTGGATTCTTCAGGTGTACTTGGGAAGCTTCCTCCCACTATGGCAGGTGTCTGATCGGCCTGTTCCTTCTAGTCATTCTCTTCAGAGGACATCAACTGCCCTGAAATTGCTTCCCACAGGCCGTAGGTGAGCTCCAAACACTCAGCTTCCTCTTTAGAGTAGGCATAATAATGCCTGGTTGCAAAGAGTAAGTGAGTTCATAGATGCAAAGTCAGTATCTGGCTTAAGATATGGATTAGAGAAGTAATGACCAAATGCCAATCTTTGTTCTTTAAATGGCAAACCCAGTGGCCCTTGGTCTTCGCTTTTCTTCCTTTATCTCTCTGGGAGTCGTTCCCCTTCCTAAAGCTTCCCATCCTGCCTTTTCTTCTCAGACTGGGCCTTCTATGTCCTTTCTGATGTCATTCTGTTCTTCTGCTCCACCCATATATACCCAACCCTTGCCTCCTGTCTACACAGTCCTGACCTCAGAGACCTCATCTTTGTAGCTTGGAGCTGGCCCACATGTCATCTCTGCTCTCCTGAGCCCTGTCTTGCTGTGGCCATGCTGGTTTTCAGTGTTCTGTACATGGTGCTATTTTTATATACCAAAATACCAATATTTTGATATTTATTTTGTTATAACAAAACACAGTTATTTTACTTAGAAGAAGAGATATCATCATCTTCTTCTGCCCTTTGTCTTCATTTGCCATTTCCTCTCAAAGAGGGTCAAGGCCCAGGACTGTATCTCAGGTGGGTTGTTTGAGGTTCTGGTGAAAAGAAATTATCTTAGAGAAGGAAAGATCAGGCTGTAGGAGATAAGGGATTCAGCTCTGGAGGAAATAAAGGGAAAGAGGCAGAGGTAATCTGCCCTGGGAAGGGGGTAGAGTTGGGGAGACTGGGTGCTGGCACCTGCCTCTCCTGTTCCCTCCTCCCCAGATCCCTACCCCCTACAATGACTCCAGCAGGTCCCCTGGAAGTGGATGGGACCCAGATTGGCTCTGAGAGAAATGCAGATGACAAACCTAAGACAAGACACTTGGTCCAGAAAGGGAATATAAACTTGGGGAGTT